AAGTATTTCCTTGAGTTCTCTGAGCCTCCCTAGCAAATTAATTGAACTCAAGGAGGGAAGAACTATTGATACTTCTTTTTAACAACTGCCAGTAAGGCTAGGATAATGGTTTTTGACCCATTAGGGATTCCAAGTCCCACAGGTCGAAATAGGGTTTGCCTATTGACATGGGACAGATAACATAAAGGTAATGCATTTTAAATAATGCATTTACTATGTGTTTTTTTTTAAAGGTTTATTGAAAGCCTGAAAGGTTCTGAATGAACTGTCCTAAACCTAGTCTTAGCCACAGCACATTAATCTCGCTGTAATCTACTTTCTCTTTCAGTTCTGCCAGATTAAGTCTAAATTCTTCTCTGAGCTCTCACCACTCCAAATCCATTGCATTTCTCATGTCACATGGAAAATTATACAAAGGTAATAAAGCATAATGGCCATGCATCTGGAGTGTGAAGCCAGCCACTTGGGTTGGAAGCTGGTTCCACCTTCACTGGTTATGTAATTTGGCTCAGTTTTCTTGGTTGCAAAATGGGGACACATGTGCCAGCTTCCCAAGAGTTGTAAAGGTGCAGTGAATTCATTCATGTAAAATTCTTCAGTCCTAACAGTTAAAGCCCATACCTAACTGCTATTCCTAAACCAGTCAGCTGAACCAGCATGTGTTAAGTATCACATTGAAAAGCAGGTTTTCAGGCCCTGTCCCAGAAACTATCCTTTTAACAATCAGACTTCCACGTAACTCTAATGAGTATGTAGTGTATAGAGGCACACATGAATTAAATTTGAAATTGAAAAATAAAATGTTTTAAGATGTTAAATTTCTTGTCCATTGTTCACTTGTTCATTTTTGGTTTTTGTTTGTTTCTTTGAGACAGAGTCTCACTTTGTCACCCTTCATAGAGTGCTGGGAAGTCTTCACTCACAGCAACCTCAAACTCTTGGATGTAAGTGATCCTCTTGCCTCAGCCACCCCAGTAGGTGGGACTACAGGTGTCTGCCACAACGCCCAGCTATTTGTAGAAGCAGGGCCTCACTGTGGCTCAGACTGGTCTCAAACCTGTGAGCTCAGGCAGTCCACCTGCCTCCACCTCCCAAGTGACAGTTACAGGCATGAGCCACCACACCTGGTGTCTGTTCTCTTAAAACAAGAATCCTGGGTGGCGCCTGTGAGTAGGGTGGCTCAGTGAGTAGGGCGGCTCAGTGAGTAGGGCTCTAGCCGCATATACCAAGGGTGGCAGTTTGAACCCAGCCCTGGCCAAACTGCAAAAGAAAAAAAAATAGGCATTGAGGCAGGCGCCTATAGTCCCAGTTACTTGGGAGGCTGAGGCAAGAGAATCGCTTAAGCCCAAAAGCTGGAGGTTGCTGTGAGCTGTGACACCATAGCGCTCTACTGAGGGCAACAAATGAGACTCTTATCTCTATTAAAAAAAAAAAAAAAAGCAATCCTGACACTTTTTTTAATACCAAGCTGTTATTTATGTCATTTTGAAGGTAAAAAGGAACTGTTTCCTCTCTCCCAATAACTAACCTCAACACTTAGAACACCGAATGTGTGGGGATCATTTGCCGCACACCACGATATTCAGTAGACCCCACCTAATTTAATTCTGACACTGGAGACAGCATCAGATCCCACAGTTAAAAGCTCAGTCCTTTGACTGGGTGCGGTGGCTCAAGCCTATGATCCTAGTACTCTGAGAGGCCCAAGCAAGAGGATCTCTTTGAGCTGAGGAGTTTGAGACTAAACTGAGCAAGAGATCAACTCTACTAAAAGGAGAAAAATAGAGCACCTGTACCTCAAGCAGCTAAGGCGACAGCCACATACACCAGTGCTGACAGGTTCGAATCCAGCCCAGGCCTGCCAAACAACGACAACAACCAAAAAAAAAAAAAAATAGCCAGGCATTGTGTGCATCTGTAGTCCCAGCCACTTGGGAGGCTGAGGCAAGAGAATCACTTAAGCCCAGGAGTTGGAGGTTGCTGTGAGCTGTGATGACACGACACTCTACCCAGGGCAACAGCTTAAGGCTCTGTCTTAAAGAAAAATTAGCTGGCTTTGTGGGCTACTCAGGAGGCTGAGGCAAGAGAATCGTTTGAGCCCAAGAGTTTGCAGTTGCTATGAGCTGTAGCACTACAGCTATATACCCAGGGTGACAGAGACACACTGTCTCAAAAAAAAAAAAAAAAAGTCCTTCAAGACTCGCCCCACCTTGCCCAGGTACCAGTCATAAGCCCCAGGTTGTCCCTAGTCCTTACTGAGGAGCTACAAACCAAGGTCCCCTCCTGGGCACAGGGGCTCCCAGTGGATTGCCTAAGCTCATGAGTTTGAGACCAGCCTGAGCAAGACCCCATCTCTAAAAATAGCTGGGTGTTGTGGTGGGTGCCTTTAGTCCCAGCTACTTGGGAGGCTGAGGCAAGAGAATAACTTGAGCCCAAGAGTTTGAGGTTGCTGTGAGCTATGACGCTACAGTACTCTAACCAAGGGCGACAAAATGAGTCTGTCTCAAAAAAAATAGTAAAAATTTAAACCTTAAAAAAAATATCAGAGTCCAAATGACCCCTCCTTGAATTCAAGTAATTTGCCAGAGAGGCTCCAAAACTCAAAAGAACACTATTTACACTTACTGGTTTATTAATAAAGGATACAAATACGGTAGCATGTATTTGTAGTCCCAGCTATCCAGGAGGCTGAAGTGGATAGATTGTCTGAGTCCAACCTGGATAACCCAGTGAGATACTGTTTCTAAAAATTGAAAGAGGCAGGGTGCTGTGGCTCACACCTGTAATCCCAGCACTCTGGGAGACTAAGGTGGGTGGATTGCCTGAGCTCAGGAGTTTGAAACCAGCCTGAACAAGAGTGAGACTCTAGCTCCAAAAAAACAAAAATAGCTGGGCATTGTGGCCAGCACCTGTAGTCCCAGCTACTCCAGACACTGAGGCAAGAAGAGGATCACTTAAACCCAAGAGTTTGAGGTTGCTGGGAGCTATGAGGCCATGGCACTCTACTAAGGGCAACAAAGTGAGACTCTTGTCTCACAAAAAAAAAAAAAAAAATGAAAAAGGATCCAGAGAGAGAAGAAATGCATAATTGAGTACAGGGACATGGAGCTCCCATGCCTCCAGGCACTGTCACTATACTCACCTTGCCTCCACCCTCCAGGCATCTTAGCCAGGGATCCCCAAGCCCTATCCTTATGGGGTTTAATGGAGACTCTCATTACATAGGCCATTTGTGAGCAACTCAACCTTAGCCTCTCCTGCCTGGAGGTTGGGGGCGACTACCTAGAAGCTTCTAGGCATATCTCATTAGTATACAAAAATTATCACTTCAGAGATTCCAAGGGTTTTAGGAGCTGTGTGCCAGGAACCAGGGGTAGGGACCAAATATTTATATCTTATCAGTCATTATTGTATTTAGTATGACAATAAGCACAAAACAGTACTGAGTCGCATGTAGCAGCACTTAGCTTTCACCAGTTCAACAGGAAACCATTTCATATAGTTCATTATTAAGTTAGATTCTAGGTAACTGCTACAGATCTGTATTGATAGGTGCTATTGAGCATCATCTGGCAAAATTAACCTTAAAAGAAGAGGTTATGACTCCATTGTTACCTAGCCCAGGACAGAAGTGTAAGTAATCTCTCGTCCTAGGGAAGAAACTAAGAAAGGTGTTAGTTTCTTTGAGCAGGAATATTTACGTACCAGCTAGGGGCCAAGAACTAAGTTAACTGCTTCATATACATAATTTCAGTTAGTGAAATGACACTGGTAGTACTATCCCCATTTTACAGACGGCTTACAAGTTACCCAGTTTGTACTAAACAAAGATGTAAATCTGGAACCTTTAGTCTGTTTCACTCCATCAAGTTTAAACAAATCCTTCTAACACAGACACATTTCTAAGTTAGCTAAAGCAGTTGGGATACTTATGTTATTTCCTTGTTAGGCAAACAATCAGTGTCAGGCTGCTTTTCAGTGTTTTGAGGACCTGGGAAGGATCAGATTATTATTATATCATAAACAGGACTGAGAACCAAGCCACTTCTTTCAGTTTAATATCAAGCACAAGGAGACTCCCCAATTTCCAAAGGCTTTACTGGTAAATATGCTTTAGAAAAGAATAAACAACCCTATTGCTTCCAAGTCAGTGGAATGAAGATCTGTGTCCAGGGACAAACCACGCAGTGTTGAAGGACAACCTCTTACTCATAGACCCAGTCATAAGCACAGGACTTGTAGTCGACCAATTCTTCCGGCTTAAACCACAGGCTGATTTCTTTTTCAGCACTTTTTACTGAGTCGCTGCCATGAATGATGTTCCTAAAGAAAGACAATCATTACTAGTTGCCATGTTTTAAAGTCTGCTTAACAGATACAGCAAAGGAAAGCCACTGCCGACCTTTCTGGCCAAACTGCCACTTGAAACAGCAAACTAATTACAAATAAAAGAAACTATAATAGTGCTTCAAATTTTTGAAAAATCCAAGAATACTCAAGCCCACTCTAAACCAAAAGCCTAACTAGATGTGATGTAGTCATTATCAAGGGCCATTTTGGCTGCATTTTCTCATAAAAATGGATTTACAAAGCATGACCCTGACATAACATGCTTAATAATAATCCCATTATTCCGCTTTAATTTTATAATTCTGTGAAGTGTTTGTACAGATTAGGTGAAGGAACCAAAAAGTTAGGTGCCACACCCATGGACATAGTACCCAAAAAGCAGGGGCAAGGCTAGAACCCTTCCTCCTTCCACCTTTAGCACTTTCTGCTGTGCCACACAGAATTGCTCCACGCAGCTCCCTCGTGGAGGGTCTTGGTCAAAAGGAAACTAGGGAAGTATCTATTTGTGAAAGGTCTTATACAATGATAATCACCACCTAATTTATAAGTACAAGTTTTCCAAAATTAGGATATGCCCCAAATGTTTCCTTTATAGGCCATATAAAAAATGGTGTTGCCCCTCCCCCCAAAAAGCCTGTCCTGATGTAATAAAGACATCCTAGTGCAAAAAAATACGAAAAAAAATTTTTAAATGGTGTTGAGTAAAAGTCATCAATACGCCCACAGGACCTACCTGCCAACTTGAATGCAGAAGTCCCCACGAATGGTGCCTGGCTTAGAATCCGCTGGATTGGTCTCCCCAAGCATCACTCGGCCTGTCTTCACCACATTCAGCCCCTCCCAGACC